TATAACAACAGTTATAATAAACATGAATGTAGCTGAGCCTGCATCAGTGTTGCCAGATAAATTTAAAATGTCTTATTTACCCCCTCCTTTTCTGTGCACATGTTCAACAAACACAACACACACCTCATATTAGAATATTTTTACTCAGCACACGTGACAGTTTAGGTCAAAATACTATAATTTTTAAAGCCACAGTACTATAGTTCATAAGTTCTTATCTGGCAACCTGACTGACACGGAAACTACGGCGTTTTCATGTAAACCCACCCATTTTTTGTTTATTACCCCCAATAAACATTGAAAAACACAAACTTTTCCAGAGGTTGTTCTGGTGTAAACGGGGCCTTATAGTAGGTAGATCACTTTGACTTGGTCGTTTTAAAAGAAGCTTGCATGCTGAAAAAGTCTGGTTCTATGTTCTATGATATATGGGTTTGTGAGCAGTAGAAAGTTTAAAGATGACGTAGTTTGCAGGCGAATTATAACGCCAGACTGAAGTTGAGCTAAATCAACTCCAGTGTCCACAGATTCAATTGAAAGTTGAGGATTTGTCTTCAGTCTTCTTATCTCTCTCCTACTGCATATATATATATATATATATATATATATATATATATATATATATATATGAACTGCCATTAGTTGTCTCCCTGTATTTTTTCTGGCTCTGATAATTGTCTTCTTTTAGACGCCCTCGTTCTCTCTTTAAAAAGTAAAAATGGAAAGGTATGGGTCAACACTCGCTTCATGTTGGCTTGACTTTCTCAATTATCAGAGCCAAACGTCTGCTTGAAAACTGTCGTTGACGCATGCATGTGAACGTGACCTTCAACAACTTGTTCAATCAAACGTTTGTCCGTCGTCGTGACAGTAATCATCTGTAGCTAAGAGTCAAATATTTGTTGTGCTTTGCAAAAGGAATCATCCCCTTTGGTGTCCTTTCTGTTTTGTTGCGTTACAATCTGGAACTAAAAAAAGTTTTAATTGGTTTATTATAGGTAATAATTCACCAAACGTACATTAGATTAATTAATCTATATGGATAGAAATGCTTGTTTTAAATATTATAAAACTGAAAAGGGGTATGTGCATATGTAGTCAGTCCCCAAATTTTATACGTGCCACCTCCTTTTCTCAGCCGTTCCAGCACCGTCGCTTCAGATGCGACTCCATGACCTTCTTGACGTTTTTAATCTATTCTTCATAACCAAACTGCTTCAATCTTTAAATCAAACCAGAGGTTCTCAGCTGGATTAAAGCCTGGGCTGTGACAGGATCATTCTTAAACCAGTGGAGTGTTTAAGGACATGGTCCTGCTGGAAGGTGGACAAGTCTCAAATCTCTGGAAAACTCCATCAAGAATTTCTTTGCGCATTAGTCCATCCATCTTTACTTTAACCAGTTTACCAGTCCATGCTGCTGAAACACCTCCCCACAGCATGATGCGGCCACCACCATGCTTTCACAAAGAAATACATTATCAGCACGATTGTTATTCTTTATAGACACGGTTCTGTCCTTGACGGCCTAATAGTCAGAGTTTGAGTTTTAAATTCTACGTTGGCAAAGCAATAAATTAAAAGGATTACCAACAGGGATGGATACTTTTGCGAGGCCCTGTACAGCTTAATGGCAGTGCACAAAACGAGCAGCTTTTAGCCAAAGGCTCAGCAAATATTTCATGTGAAAATAAGTCTACACCCCTGAAAAGATCATCTAAGCCTCCTCAACGTTGCAGCAAGATATCTTTATTGTGTCTAAATAATACAGTACAGTCATCGAGCGTTCCTTTGGGCGTTACATTCAGCATTTACTGCCGTCACTACACTGCTGGCGTCGCTGTAGCTATGAATTCTGGGTATGCATTATGGTTTTGAGACCCAACACATAAAAAGAACCAAACAGCAAGAAAAGTTCTTTGCATGCAGCCTCATCTCCAGCTGGCTGATGGACTTTTTAGTTCGTTGTCTGAAGGTCTACGTGTTCGCACACTCAACCGGCGTCGCACATTTCAGTGACAGGAAGTCCAGGCCGTATACCAACCCCCAGAAATGAGGCACTTATCGTTCTACCACTAGTCCCCGTGTCTCTTAGGTTGGCGCACAGTGCTGACATACGTTGCTGCGTCATGATTTAAAATCGGTGAAGATATTAATCAGACGCTACAGAAGCTGCCATGCTGATCCCTTTGGCTAAAAGGAGACATGCGGATGCTATAAAATATTCACATGTACATCTGTGTCTGTAGCCTGATATGTTCTGTGCGTGCACGTCTTCTAGCCGTTGTCTAACTTCTGTTCCGTCGTTGTTCTCAGCCATTGAGAAACCTCTAGGCCCAGTTTCCCCAGACTACGTGGAGATCGCGATATACTGCGTTGGCGTCTTCATCATCGCCTGCTTGGTGGGCACGGCGGTGGTGTGCCGCATGAGGAACACCGCGAAGAAGCCTGACTTTGGCGGCCAGCCGGCCGTCCACAAGCTGACCAAACAGATCCCCCTGCGCCGCCAGGTAACAGAAAGTAGATAAAGAGTTCTAACGGCATCTAACACTTCCAGAGGAGAACACACACAACAACCCTGACACCTGGTTCCCAGTGACGTGACATTACTGAACCAGGTTGTTCAATGTTTGACACAAGAGCAACACAAAATACAACCTCGATTCTAAAATCATTATAACTGTGCAAACAGAGTTCAACGATTTGGAAATCTCATAAACCCATATTTTATCAAAAATGGAACATGACAACATATCAAATGTGAACAAAAATTTAAAAAGTATGTAAGCTCAATCATCCAGGTAAATAAATCACAGAAAGAGTTCAATCGTGTCATCTGGACAGATTCTTTTTGGACGAGACGTTTCGACTTTCATCTGAAAGACTTCCTGACACCAGGATCCGTCGTATTAATAACACCTTCAAACCAGTCTGCTGTGGAATTCCCAGAAACTGGATTTACACATGCAAACTGGTCAAAATCAAATGTTGAAACTAAATTTGATGGTCGTGGGCCACGGCATTAAAACCAGTTCAGGTTCTGTTCTGGGCTCAGGAACACTTCCACAGATCATCGTCTGTAAACACAGTTCATCCACACATGCTGCTTAAAGCTCTATCAGACAAAGGAGAAGCCAGATGTGAACATCCAGAGCCGCTGCCGTCTCCTCTGGACCAGAGCTGGTTTAAAATGGACTGAGGTGAAGTCCAGAACCGTTCTGTGGTCAAACAAATCAAAATTTAAATGTCTTTTTTTTTAAACAATGGCTTCAACATCCTCTGCTAAAGAAGAGAAGGACCATCTTGATTTTTTATCAGGACACAGTTTAAAACCCTGCCTCTCTGATTGTATGGGGGTACATTAGCTGAACCCAGGACTGCTGAAAAGCTAGAATCCTACATCAGACAAGAATGGGACAACATTCCTTGCAAAAACTCCAACAACTGGTCTCCTCAGGTCCTGGACATTAACAGACGGTTATTAAAAGAAGAAGTGACGCTTCACGGAGGGAAACATGGACCTGGAACAAGTTGTTATTAACAACGTAGGGAGGTTTTTATTTCTTCCCCAAATGTAAGACTTTCTTCTGCCTCAAGGGAAACCAGAAATGATCAGAAAGCGTTGGATTGCGTTCTGCAGAGCGACTGATTACCGTGTCAAGGTAAGGTCAGGGTGGAGACCGGGGAGGTGAGCCTCGGGGAAAGTATCTGATGTGAGCAGTTATTACGAATTCAGAGAAATTCCTACGGTTGCTCAATTTTTAATAACGGATGAAATGTTATCTTTGACCCGGGGACACACTGTGCTATTGTTAAAATAATAAGTGCAGTAATTAGGCACGTTCTGTTCGGGCTCGGGTGCAAACCTGAGCAGCACGGTTGGATTTCTAGAGGTATCGTTGATCCGTAAACACCGACTCCTCGGAAGACGCTTCGTAAACGACTTCACTCAGAGTGCGGTGATCAGCCAAGTCTCCTTTACCCTGCAGGTGTCGACAGACTCGAGCTCCTCCATGAACTCCAGCACGCCACTGGTGCGCATCACGACACGGCGGAGCTCGGCGCACGACGAGCCGATCCCGGAGTACGACCTTCCGGAGGATCCCCGGTGGGAGTTCCCTCGAGACAGGTGAGAGCTGCTGGTTTAAAACCATCAGCAGAGGCTCAACGGCACTTTGGTCAACTGTCGTCCAAAGGCCATATCTGTGCATGTTCTTGTGTCTGCTAGCAAAATATCTCCTGAACCACTGGACGGATTTTGTTGAAACTTACTGAAGGTAATCGACTGATGGACATTTGGAGACAATCCAATTAAAGATCGAGGCCACAGTTAAACTTTAACCAACACAAAATGGATATAATTCAGTCATGCTAACAGGTTTTAACCTAAATATTGGCGTGGTGGTAGTGGTATGGAGGAATGGTGGTGCAGAGGTTAATGAAGGTGGGCCTGTGATTGGAAGGTCGCCGGCTCGACTCCCCGAACTGAGAACATCAAAATGTGGGTGGGAAAGGTGAAACACCCACACCTGCCTCCACCCTCATTCGTCCCACTCTGGGCCCCTGAGCAAGGCCCTTAACCCCCACCTTCTGCTCCCCCACGTGCCCTACATGGCAGCGCTCTGCTCCACACAGAGGGCTGTGGTAGCTCGGTGGTCTGTGGTTGAGTCAGGAAGAACATCCGGTGTCAAAATAATTGCCAAGTCTTCATGTGAGTTAGTTCACTGTGGCGACCCCTGAAGAAGGAGCAGCTGAAAGAAGAAAAAAATGGTATGGTAGTAGCTGAGAGTCATCCACATTTCCATCCATCCATCCATCCATCCATCCATCCATTATCTTCCACTTGTTCCGAAGTCAGGTCTTGGGGGCAGCATCTTGAGCAGGGAGGTCCAGACACCTCTTCCAGCTCTTCTGAGAGGACTCCAAGGTGTTCCCAGACCAACCGAGAGACGTGGTCTCTCCAGTGAGTCCTGGGTCTTCTTCAGGGTCTCCTCACTGTCAGACATGCCTGAAGCACCTCCCTGGGGAGGCGCCCACGGAGCATCCTTACCAGATGCCTGAACCACCTGAACTGGCTCCTCTGGATGTGGAGGAGCAGCGGTTCTACTCTGAATCTCTCCTGATAACTGAACATCTCACCATCTCTCTAAGGGAGAGTCCAGCTACCCTGCAGAGGAAACTCATTTCGACCTCCTGTATCCACGATCTCATTCTTTCAGTCACTACCCAGAGTTCATGACCAGAGGTGAGGGTACTAGGAACCTAGTTCGACCAGTAAACAGAGAGCTTTGCCTTACAGCTCAGCTCCCTCTTCACCACAACGGACCGGCACAGAGTCCACAATACTGCAGATGCTGCACCAATCCGTCTGTCAATCTCAATTCTTTCCTCACTCGTGAACAAACCCCCCAAGATACTTGAACCCCTCCACTTGAACCTCAACCTGAAGAGAGCAATCCACCCTTTTCCGACTGAGGACCACGGCCTCAGATGTGGAGGAGCTGATTCTCATCCCAGCTGCTTCACACTCGCCCTTGAACCGCTCCAGTGGGAGCTGGAGATCACGGCACGATGACGCCAACAGGACCGCATCATCTGCAAATAGCAGAGATAACGTCCACATTACATGCTCACGTAAAACTGTTATGATGTAAACTGTCTAAAACTTTGGCATTAAAGGCCGTGAGTGATGCGCCATAAACCTTTTCCTGCATTCAGTGTCCTCTGGCGCTGTGTACAACTGATTCTGTACAGTGCAGTAGTCATGAAGCACTTAACTCGACTGTACTCAGCTGGTAAATGATTAGAAAACTATTGTTTTTTTAGTCGTGACTAACTGGTGCATAACGTTTGTGGTGGCTGAGATAAATGTTGCTGCTGCAGTAAAAAGAGCTGAACTTGGCTCGCTGCCCCTTTCGCCTCATCGTTCCAGCTGCAGCCGAACTTCCCGCTCTCCGTCACCCGGCAGCCCCGCTCGCGTCTGCTCCTCTTGCTAACGAGGAGTACTGTCAAGCGAATTAGCGGTTCGAGTTCGCAGCTTTCGCCTGCACGTTGGGGCGTGTTTGAAGAGTGCTTGCGCCTTGTCATTCCAGAGGTATGAGCTCAGCTGGGGTTTCAGTTTGCCGCAGGTACGGCAGTGGGAGACGAGCTTTAAGGTGTGTAAGAAGAAGTTAGAGCAGGTTAAGACCAAACAGGGCTTTTGTCTTTTAAAGAATAAAAAAAAAACGGTGTTAAGTGGAAATAAGAGGTTTTTCTGATGGAGAGCCACACTGAGAGCAAATCTTTCTTAAAATTCTTCGTTGTGTATCTGAAGGCTGTGGCTGCCATGTGATTCAGGTTGACGCTTTCAAATTTAGCACTTGTGGATTTGATTATTTCATGAATGTTTGGTCAGATCTGCACCGTAGCTCATGAGATATTTTGCTAACAGACAGACACATGAACTAACGCACAAGAATGGGCAAAAACAGCCTTTTGGCGGAAGGCAATAGTGAAAGAATTAATCAAAAAAGAACCAAAATGGAAAGTTTTGTCTGAGCTAAATTACCTCCTGTCTCGTTCTGTTTGGGTTTTTTTGTTTGTTTTTTTCCGCTGCCTGTCGTTTCAAGCCGGAGGGATCGTGTTGGGATTGAGAACTTTAAGGAATGCTAAATGTTGCTGTTTGTTTGAAGACAAAAAACAAATAAATAAAACTAGAACAAAAACATTGATTATGTGTGGCTGCATGGACAGAATGGATGCCATTGAGTGTGGCGAGTGTGTGTGGACAGACAGGGGATTGTGTTACTGCAGCAGGGCGCCGTCCTCGGGCCCCTCGGCTTTGCCTTGCGCAGTGTTTACTTAGCCGGAGCAGTGGGCCTAGGGGCGGGGTCAACACATGTCAATCAAACTAACAAGTACTATGTACACGGCTGGTTTAAGGGTCAAACCTGTGCTGCAGGTCTGCTGAATTGCAAAATTACTCCCAACAGTTGTTGCTGAAGCTTTAAGCAAAGCTTTTGCATATGTTATGATTTCTGCTACAACCACACCAAATATTGTCTAAGGTACATTCATTTTAAGGCTTTTTAGTTGGCTGTGTCAGCCATATTAATTGCAGTTACCTCCAAAAGTTATTCAGTTGTAAACTTCACATCCAATAATTATTCCCTGAAAGTTTAATTAAAATCCATCCACTGGTTTGTGAGTTATTTTGCTAACAGACTGACAAAGATGATTCCAAATTATTAAAGGCAAAATACATTGAGCAGGTCTGTGCTCAGGATGAGTGACGGGGATCAGTCTCAGCTACTAGCTCAGCAAATATTCCCTCTCAATCTGTAAAAGTGACTGACTTGAACCCATTTTTGTGTTTCGCGTCAGACTCGAGCACGAACATTTCTCTGCTTTAGCGTTTAGCGTAGCGATGAGCAATAAAAAGCACACGAACCAGTTTAGAGCGTAAAACCGTTCCAGTTATCCCCTCACTTCAAAAACAGGCTTCTCTTTTGACTTACTGCCGTCAGCTCCACCATTTTGGTAAAACAAAGCATCTGTCACAAGCTAACTCGCGGCTAGGCTAATCCCCGCGTAATGACTCGTAAAGAGTGTGTGTACTCGAACATGCCAAGCCGGGGTAAACACTTTGCGAAGAAGTGGCTTTATCAGGCGATTATCTTTGCCATGTCTGCTTTCCTTACCTCCCGCTCTGGCTCGGACCGCAGCCACCGAGCCAATGAAGCTCTCACACAGAGGAATCTGATTGAAACGGAGAGTGGTGCGGTTAAAAACAGACAGGGTGAGGCTGGGAAACTGGCCCCGCGCCTGCTCCGCCGCTCTCTAACCTGTTTACATCTGCACGGCGGCTGAATCGAAGCAACCGCCCGACGGGACAAATTTCAGCTGCTAATCATGTTCCTGCGCTTGTTTTTCTGCTGTGCGGCGGCTGCAGGTTGACCCTGGGGAAACCTTTAGGCGAAGGCTGCTTTGGTCAGGTCGTGATGGCTGAAGCTCTGGGCATCGATAAGGACAAACCCAAGGAGGCCGTCACCGTTGCTGTCAAAATGCTGAAAGGTGAGGGGGGTCGTTCGTTGGTGAATGACTGACTTGTGCTTAAAACTGGATCTGTGGGAATAAATGCACGCCTCTTCTCTGTCCTGTGGACAAGCTCAGGGTTTTGTGTAGATTTATTCTGCAGTGAGGGTTCAGGGAAGGTGCAAGGTGGAGCCTCAGGCTGTTTTCATTATTGCTGCTTGCTGAGTGATGGCTTGAGGAAGGTAGGCTGGCTAAGTAAGGGGTTAGAGATGGTCACATACCTGACCCCAGAGCAGCAGGTTAGAGCACAGTCAGCACCCAAACAAAGAGGAGAGTCAAGTTAGTGCCGCTGTACTTAATGAGGGGGGGGGGGGGTGTCTCTGAAGGGAACAGTTAGGATCAGGTACAGCAGCAGGATGAAGAAGAAGCTGCTGTTCAGGATAAGTCCAGATACGGTTATGGTGCTGAGGAGTGCAAGCAGCGCCATCTTGGATAACAGTTTGTGAACCTCTACTGTCACGAGCACGAGGAGCGATGACGAGTTCTGTGAAAGCTGAGCGCTGAATGACAGCTGAAACTAGCTGAAACTAGCTGAAACTGCTGTAAAGTTTTGTCTAAAAGTTAAATGTAGCAACAAGCTAGCTATCAGTAGAAAATTACATAGAAGCTAAAAGTAACAAACTCCAGCTAAAAATATCAAACGCTAGCTCAAAATCACTACAGGGTAGCTAAAAGCTAAAAGATTAGTCAGAAGCTAAAAGTAGCAAAAGTTAGCTAAAAATATCAAACTCTAGCTCAAAATCACTACAGAGTAGCTATAAGCTAAAAGATTAGTCAGAAGCTAAAAGTAGCAAAAGTTAGCTAAGAATATCAAACTCTAGCTCAAAATCACTACAGAGTAGCTATAAGCTAAAAGATTAGTCAAAAGCTAAAAGCAGCAAAAGTTAGCTAAAAATATCAAACGCTAACTCAAAATCACTACAGAGTAGCTAAAAGATTAGTCAAAAGCTAAAAGCAGCAAAAATTAGTTAAAAATATCAAACGCTAGCTCAAAATCACTACAGAGTAGCTAAAAGCTATAAGATTAGTCAAAAGCTAAAAGCAGCAAAAGTTAGCTAAAAATATCAAACGCTAGCTCAAAATCACTACAGGGTAGCTAAAAGCTAAAAGATTAGTCAAAAGCTAAAAGCAGCAAAAGTTAGCTAAAATCTAATGTGGCAGAACAGTAGCCAAAAGCTAAACACCGCAAAGTTTTGTCTAAATGTTAAATGTAGCAAAAAGCCAGCTATCAGTAGAAATTTAAGTAGAAGCTAAAAATAACAATCTCCAGCTAAAAGTAGCAAAATTTAGCTAAAAATAGCAAACGCAAACTCAAAATCACTAAAGGGTAGCTAAAATATTAGTCACAAGCTAAAAGTAGCAACAGCAGCTAAAAGTTGAAAGCAGAACAGTAGCTAAAAACTAATGTGGCAGAACAGTAGCTAAAAGCTAAACACCACAAAGTTTTGTCTAAATGTTAAATGTAGCAAAAAGCCAGCTATGAGTGGGAAAATTACATAGAAGCTAAAAGTAACAATCTCCAGCTAAAAGCAGCAAACGTTAGCTAAAAATAGCAAAAGCTAGCACAAAATTGCAGAAGGGTAGCTAAAAGCTAAAAGAATAATCAAAAGCTAAAAGTAGCAAACCAGTAGCTAAAAGTTGAAAGCAGCAGAACAGTAGCTAAAAACTGCAAATCTAGCTAAAAACGAATGTGGCAGAACAACAGTTAAAAGCTAAAAGTGTCATAAGAAGACTAAAATAGAAACTAGGAATAGGAACAGAAGAGATCTTAATGTATTTCAGTGAGGAAAATATTTGTAAATAAAGTTGAATATTTTGGAAAGTATAAAAGATACAAAAACCAAAAATCACAGCATCTCCTGAATGAGCTGAACTCTTTGGTACGCTAATGGCTAATACCAGGAAAACCGTAACGTGAATGCTAACTCAGCATTTTCACAATTTAGATTTTTCCTCTTTTTTTGCTGCTCCTCTCACCTTCTGGCACTGAAAGATTGTTTTTGGAGCTTCAGTGGGTTTTGTAAGTTTAGCCCACATTGTTTGTCATCCTCGCATCATTGGAAGCACCGACAAACTGGATCATCTCTCCTGTTCTCAGATGATGCCACGGAGAAAGACCTGTCTGACCTGGTGTCAGAGATGGAAATGATGAAGATGATTGGCAAACACAAGAACATCATCAACCTTTTGGGAGCTTGCACTCAAGATGGTGAGTTGTATGGGGATCATTGAGTTAAAGTTCTACGTTAAAGAGTTTATTTTTATTTTTAACTAAATTCAGCCAAAACTATCTTTTCCCAAGTTTTAAGGTGTGATGATAAACATAGTGAAAAATGAAAATATTAAAGACTAAATTAGGGATGCACGATATTATCGGCACGGTATCGGCCGATATTAGCGATAAAGTTAAATATCGGACATTCCATCAAAATAACTCATGATATAAAAGGCTTCTGTTTTAAGTTATATTTTAATTTACGAAACTGTCAAGTTTATATATTAATGCACTACTACATGTTCCTTTCACGTGTCATTTGTGAACAGGTTAAGTTTAGATTTGTGAAAATTTACAAATTTGCACTGTTTCTGAGTGTTGTCGTTGTGTTAGATTAAACGTCATGAATAAATTTGACATTAAACGTAATCCAAGTAGAAGTGTTGCATCATTTTCAGCTCCCTTTTTGGCATCTGCATTTGGCAGCAGCCAAACTGACAAAGACCTGCAGAATAATGTATTTTAGTTCCACAGCAGATAAAGCTATGTATTCTCTGTAAGTAGGTCTAGGGGAAAATATAGGTATTGGTATCAGTTATCAGCCAAATAAGGTTCAACATATTGACATATCGGATATCGGCCAAAAATCCAATATTGTGCATCCCTAAACTAAATGTTGTTTTTTAAACAGCGGTAGACGTCCAAGCTGACCGTTATGTCACAGCACAGATACTGTGTTTAATATACTGAAAGACTTTTGTTGTATTTTGACCAACTATGGCAAATATTTAAAAAAGATATTCAAAAAGCCCTGTACCCCTGACTTACAGCATCTGCCTGACATAATTATTTTATTAACCCAGGGCTGCACACATTCTTAAATTTGAATATAGCGTTATCATTGTGCACAACATCAATATTGCAACGTTTTACCATAAACTGCAGATGCAGACTTCTTGTAAATGGTGCGAATTTGGAAATTTGATGGAGCCCGTTCTCCCAAATGTCCACAGTCTGCACATGGAGAGTGGATGGAACTTTGTAATGACATTTATTGTGAGTTTGTCACAATTCGTAATGCCTTTCCAATATTCTACAACAACATGACGCATGTCCCTAGTATTATGCAACCCTAATATAAAGCATTTAATGCTTTACAAAGATGCAAGAAATGTTTTCCTTAGATTGTCTTGATCAATCCATTCTTTGTGTAATTTTCTTTGCAGATGATGTGATGTTTGAAAGTTACAAGTATCATACTTGGTTCAGGTTTTATTCAGTTTGTGGTTCTTTAATCCCCATTAACAACGTCAGAACAGCTCTTTGGGGAAAGAAAATGGTGCCCACTTGTATATATATAGCACCTTTCTATCTTATCAAGATACTCAAAGCTCTTTACAACACTTATCTGTGCCCTCGTTTACCCATTCATCCAGCTCTCTACTAGATCTACACAAAGAATAAATAAATAAAAGTGCTATGTGTTGTCATCATATATTCCCATACAATGGCAAAATTGGTTCTCTACATTTAACCCATCGCACCAGGTGGAGCAGTGGAGCAGTGGGCAGCTATGCAAGTGCCCGGGGAGCAATTGGGGATTGGGTGTCTTGCTCAGAGACACCATGACATGTGGGTATGGCTGGGATCGAACCTGGGACTTTCGGATCCCAAGTCAGCTTCCCTACATCTACCCCTACCCCATCACATTCGAACACCAATGAGAGGGTCAGTGTCTTGCCCAGGGACATTTCGGCATGTGACTGCTGGTGGAATCGAACCTCCAACTCTTGCATTGGAGGACGACTGCTCTAACCACTCAGCCACAGCCGCCCACTTGCACTTTAAATGCAGCTTGACTGATGTTGAACGCTTTAAAAAGATCCGACTACTTGTTATTGTTAGTTCTAGAAGGTGCTCCAACATTTTTGCTAGTATTTGACATGAACATGAACTAGGTCTGTTTTTCTTGAAGCACAGGAACCATAATTTTGGGAAAAAATAAAAAGTAATACAAACATTTTCTTTGATCACTTGCCCTTTCACAAATCAGCTTTATTGCTTTAATTTTATTTAAAAATTTGAAAGCATAGCTGCACACTGAGGTTTAAACTCTAATTCTTGCCTCTTGCAGGACCCCTATATGTGATAGTCGAATATGCCTCCAAAGGAAACCTTAGGGAGTACCTCAGAGCCCGCAGGCCGCCTGGCATGGAGTACTCCTACGACATCGCCCGTGTCTCTGATGAACAGCTCACGTTCAAAGATCTCGTCTCCTGTACTTACCAGGTGGCGCGGGGCATGGAGTACCTCGCATCGCAGAAGGTAAGAAGATATAAACACACAAAAAATGTTCTACTTTCAAATCAACCCTTTGCTGGCTGGGTGCCTAGACATTCCATTCCAGAAGATTTGACAACAGTTTGCAGGGACGTTCAAAGCTTGTGGGAACATTGTCCCCTGAAAACACCACCCGTACCCCCTGCCCAATCCCTGCATTGTCCCTTGGTCCGTGACAAAAGCCCCTCTGTGCTGAAAAACTGGGGAGTGTTGACAATGGGGTTACAGCCACGTTAGCCAAATCCTGCCTTATGAGTCTGCTCACTGCTGGAATGTGACACTCACATGCACACACTCTGTAGAGTCCACATATCTGTATCCGTTCAGATGCGTTTATACAACCGGCCATATATATGGATAAGAATGTGAGGAATCTCCACTTATCCAGGCATGTTTGTGTACTTAGTAATAAAGTTATGTCTCACCTCTTTTTGCAAGAGTTTACTGAATAATTGCATTCGCACTTGTCCAAATAAGGTGTACCCCTGATTCTGAGGTAATATATGGCACAGTTCTTTTTCCACTCTTTGACCTTCTTCTCCCTTCCTGTCTTGTTTTTTTTTATCTCCTTTCCAGTGCATACACAGAGACCTGGCAGCCAGAAACGTCCTGGTCACAGAGAGCAACGTCGTAAAGATTGCCGACTTCGGTCTGGCCAGGGACGTCCACAACATCGACTACTATAAAAAGACCACCAATGTAAGTCCTCGACATATATCCAACTTATTTAAAGTGTGGAAACTGTTAGGGAGTTTTTGCAATCTTCAGTGTGAAATCAGTCCTGTTCTTGAATATGCTTTGTTCTATCATTTTGTGCTTTTTTTTCTGGTGTCTTGGCAAAAGCTGCAGGTTCTCAGGCAAGATGTGAATGTGGGGCTTCTAGAGACTCAGCCCTGTTTACGTCCTCGGTCTCTTATTCTTTGGTTTCATCAACATTTATACAATTAGCCAGAAAGAGCGGCAGGGAGAGGGAAGCAGCTTAAACATAACTGACATCTCCATAGTGGCCCAGTGGTGTCTGTCTTTCCCACCACAGATCAGCTCTGCATGCACATCCTTGTTTAATATGCATGATTGCCTTTTTGTTGCATGCATGATCATGCTGAGAAGTAGCTGACGGCCACAACAATACTCACAAATGTTGATGGTAGTGAGGGCTGGGACAACGACAGCAGGCTGGGCCAAAACTGTGCTGATCGTTTTAAAATCACTTTTCCTGTTCATTTGTATTTTTATTGAAACAGTTCAAATCCTATTTTTGTCTATTTTGTATTGGTAAACAAGCATGTTGTTTATGAAAAGTCTTGATATAAATAACTTGTAACTCATTAGCAACTAGAGAAATTGCCATTTCTGTGAAAATGCATTTTGAATGCTGAGCTCTAAATTGCTAAAGTTTGCAGAAGCTGAAACTGAGTTGTTAAAGCTAAAAGAAGCATATAGCTAGGTAAAAGAAACAACAAACAATAGCTAAAAGCAACTAAATGCTAACTAAAAAGATGCAAATGGTTAGCTAAAAGCTAAAATTCGCAAATTGCAAGCTGAAAGCTGAAAAAATACTAGCTAAAAGCAGGAAACAGTTAGCTAAAAACAAACAATAGCAAAAAGTTACGTAAAAGTAGTAAAATATTTACTAAAAGTTAAAATTGTCAAAACGCTAACTAAAAGGTAAAGTAGAACAAGCTAGCTAAATGTGTAAACAGTTAGCTAAAAGAAGAACAATAGCAAAAAGTAGCAGTTAGCTTAAAAAAAGCAAAATATAGTTAAAAAGTAATGTTAGCAAAAGGCTAGCTAAAAGATAACGTGGCAACAGGCTAGCTAAATGTGTAAGCATTTAGCTAAATGAAGAACAATAGCAAAAAGTAGCAGTTAGCTAAAAAAGGCAAAATATAGTTAAAAGTAATGCCAGCAAAAGGCTAGCGTAAAGGTATAGTAGCAACAGGCTAGCTAAACATGCAAACAGTTAGCTAAAAAAACACAATAGCAAAAAGTAGCAAACAGTTAGCTAAAAAGTAATGTTAGCAAAAGGCTAGCCAAAAGGTAAAGTAGCAACAGTCTAGCTAAAAGTGTAAACAGTTAGCTAAAAGAAGTGCAGTACAAAAAGTAGCAAAGATTTACCTTAAAATAGCTAAATTTAGTTAAAAAGCAATGGTAGCAAAAGGCTAGCTAACAACTAAATGTAGCTTTTGGATGTATAGTCCCTGTTTGCACGTGTTAAAAGCCTGCATCAGAGATTCCAACAGGAGGTTGAAACACAGCAGTGAAGTCTACTTATGGGACAGATCTGGTTGGCAGGTTGTAGACTGACAAAGTCTTCTGGATGACACAATTTCACCTTTTTGTTGTTATCTACCTGGTACAATGGAGCTTTTGGGCCATGGTAAGAAAAAAAATTAAAAGCCATAAAATTACGAGAATAAAGTCCTAGTATTATGAGAATAAAGTCAAATAAAGTCTTAATATTATGAGAATAGTCGTACAATACTTTTTTTTTTTTTGCAGTTCTTGTTTATTTTAAATTTTTTCCCACGAGTCGGATCCACGACGCGACCTGTCCAATCAATCCAGTAGGCGTTCAGCAAATGACCAAGCCGAAGCTAAATGAGTCGTAATATTATCCGAACTTTGACACGATAAAGCAGGGTTTACCATTTTAACTGTGGTATAATTAAGAATGTTGTGCATCTTGTTAAGTTATACTTTGGTACTGGTTTTACAAATAAGGAGATAGTTAATCTGTGAGAACATCAGCATCAGATTATTATCAGCATCAGGACTTTGAACCTGCTTACAGTAAGGTGGTACACTCTGATGGGCTGCAGCACAGCTCTGCAGGTAAGGAGCATTTAGCTTCGGATTGGTCATTTGCTGACACGCCTACTGGATTGATTGACAGGTCGCGTCGTGGATCCAACTCGTGGATTTTTTTTTTTTTAAATAAACGAGAGCTAAAAAAAAAGTATCGTATGACTTTATTCTCATAATACTTGGACTTTAATCTTGTGATTTTATGGCTTTTAATTATTTTTTTTCTTAGCGTGGCCCTAACCTGGATGATTGAGCTTACAAATCTTTTTTTAACAGAATGGTAGCAAAAAATCAAAAGTATCATAAGAAGATAAAAAGAGAGCCAATCAGCTGAAGCAGATACAAATATTTGTAAAGTTAAACTTTTTGAAAAATGCAAAAAAATTAAAAAATATAAAAGTTGTAGCTGATCTCCTGATGAGCTGATAAATGGCTAAAAAGAGCACAAGTTATGCAGAAGTAGTAAAAATCAAAACAAATGCAGCAGCTGAACCAAAAAACTCGAGACGTCGCATCTATTTTTAATAACTCCGTTTATTTAGCTCGTGAGATTTCATGAGTTTTTCCCAGTAGGCCCCTCTGCACACTTTGACCTTGTCAGGGATCCTTAGCTTCTCAGTTTGCTTTAATGGCTCACTGAGATAACCTCTCCTTTATCTGTGATCCTGTTTATCACCTCTGCTGCTTTAACAAAAACAGTGCTCTCCTGGGAATTTTCTTTCCAGACGATCGTTCCTCAAGCGAGTCGTTCACATATCGGCTTTCGCAGGAGACGTCGCAGCAGTGGATGATCTCAGACGTCCCAGTTAGACCGGAAACGATGAGTTCAGGCGTGGTTTATGGCCTGATTTCAGCTCACCTCTCTGTGCTTTCAGGGTCGTCTCCCAGTAAAATGGATGGCTCCAGAGGCGCTCTTTGACCGGGTCTACACGCACCAGAGTGACGTGTAAGTGTTTTCCACTGTTACCAGCTTTGTTACCACACCTGAGTGAACCGTGCACCGTCTATCGTCTGGTTGTGAAGTGTTCTGGCACAGCGTTGGTCCAGGGTGGGGGGTTTCTGTCTATAGGGGGCCAGCGCTGGCCAGCCTGTGGCAAAAGTAAGGATTTCACGCAGGACTTGGAGCCAATGCCGTGTTACTAATCTGACTGGCTTCAAAGGGCCTGCAAGTAGCCCAAACCCCCCTCCTCTTTCATTCAACCCCTTTAGCTCCTCCGGCTCAGCTCGGAAATCTCCCCACCTTTCTCGGACCTCTACCCAAAGTCTGAATGCTGCGTCCCTCCCGCATGGCATTCCCTTTTCCCTCTTCTCATCATTCAGCAACACTTTAAACGTGCAGCACATCCCTTTGGACCAGTTCCATAATCAGAGCTGCTCCTTGTTCATTTCAGTTTCCTTATTTTCCTTCATCTGGCGTGTGAATTGTTGACCCATCTCTGTCTCCACCCGCCATCTTTTTAGATCAAGAGTTCTAAAAACAGAACAAAGGAAGGGCATCCTTCTCTTTTCGGTGTGAGTTTTATGCTTTCTGACAGTGAAGTTTGAAGTTTCTGCTTCAGACACAGGCGTCAGAAAGTGCGTGTGGCAGTTGGAGAAATGCCGACGATGCTGACCCTTTTGAAACAAATGTGTGTTTTTGAGTTCCACACCAGCAGCACGCCAAGCATCTCTAAACTCTGATGGGTTTACACGTGATGTCCTTCATGTCCCGCTTCTCAACATCAATCAATAACATGGGAGGCAGTGTGCATGTTTTTGATGTGGGACAGGCTTGAAATGGCCGCCGTTTCAGCTCACAGCTAGTTAGAATTCATCACTCACTTTCAGTAATTGGCTTTTTGTGCACATCTAAGGAGGCGGGGGGGGGGTCTGCGTTCAAACGTCACCAGGAACGGGCGATCCATACATGACATCAGATTAAATGAATACATGAATTTCAATGAAAGTCCTCGAGTCCTTCACAACACATACTCTGAGTGCCGACACATCTTGTAATATCACATGAGATTACGCGTAACATTTTTTTTCCAGGATTTGACCAAAACAGCTGTAACTTTGTCTCTTAGCCTAGCATTCCTTTAGACGATGCTAGTCCCTAATTTATATCATAATTAAGGGTGCTTTGTGTCTTTACATTTGTGCAGTGGTGGGCACAGTTCCGATAATCCGCTGATAGCAGAACAAATTTTTCATTTAGCGGATTAACATTTTTACTAACTTTGGAAACCGTTAGCGAAAACAGCTCACGATAAATCAAGTTTTCAGACTTTTAAGTTCGTTAACAAAATTCACAACCTTGTTCCTTTTCTGTTGTGGGCGTGTCTCGAAGAGTCCGTTAGGCACGCTATTGGCTGACTACGTGTACATGTGACAAGACGTGATTGGTTAATGCAGTTTTTAGTTAGCGGGGAAATGGGTTAGCGAAGCTAACTTTTTGGTTAGCTGTGCCTACCACTGCATTTTTGGTAGAATCATGTTTATGTACGTGCACATGCATGACTCTTTGACCCTGTTCCTGCTGAAACATTCACCAACTCATTGGTCTTTTTTAATTAGCTCCCATTGTGTTGGATCAGAATGCTCTCTGGCACAGCAGAATGCAGGTAGGAAGACCCTTTAGGATGTGTTTATTTTGCACGTCATGGCTGGTTGCAGGTGGACGTTCACTTGCGCAGCTCAGCCGAATGACAGGTGTTGAGAGATGGTTACAAAATGACACAGACAGAAATGAGTGTGTCAGCCAGGCAGAGGTACTCCACAGTGATAGAGAAGTGACCAAACCTGTTGTGTAAACAGATGAGAAAGCTGATAAATGCCAAACATTTCACCTCCGTGCACGCTCATCTTGTTGGACCGCTTCTTTTGTGGCTGCCAGAACGTGCCCACTGTTTGTACATGTTTCTGTGCTAAACAATACCTTCTTTGTTGTAGGCAGAATTCTGGTTAACATGATGAGTATTGGAATTAGCTTGAAATAACAGATTTTTATAAACCGGACACCTCCATCTTTTCTGTCCTTGGGTGTTTACTTTTTCTTTGTCTGCTGTGGGTGGTCCGGTGTTTGCTTTGGTTTGGTGTGACCAGACAATGCCCATCTGTGGGACCAGCCAGCCAGGGCACAAAAGCCACCATTGAAAGCATGGTCAGTAACACTGGCAGCAGCTTTGTACCACAAGTCATTGGATGAGAGAAAGTGGGCATTGACACCATTGATGTGGGTCTGGTTTAATTTCACTAGCCGTTATTTATGGCCCCATTGCTGCCGTGGACCGAGACCTCCTGAGCGTCGTTTAAATGAAAAACCTCACTTGTCCGCTGTAAATCTTATAACTAGATTATAAAAGTATATATGTTTGTTGTTTCCCACCCCAGCTGGTCATTTGGGGTGCTGATGTGGGAGATCTTCACCTTAGGAGGCTCACCCTACCCCGGCATTCCAGTAGAAGAGCTTTTCAAGTTACTTAAAGAGGGCCATCGCATGGACAAGCCAGGCAACTGCACCAACGAGCTGTAAGTTTAGCTCTTTTTTTCTTGAATCTTGCGTCTTTTCCAACCAATCTGCTGGCCGAGCGCACATTCGCTCTTGCTCCGAGTCATCAGCGGCCCAGTTTTCATTGTGTCTCTGACTCGGGGACTCTGTGTCCACTCTGTCAGGCCTCTGCACAGCTGTGCCTGTCTACTATCAGTGTCCCCATTCAGAATAATACTTCTGCAGTGAACAGACAATGGTGCAGTCAGGATACAATACAGAATTTAAAATGCTAGCAGCTGAAGAAACTGTGAGGAAATAAAACGTTTTATTTTGGTTTATTTGTTGACATAGAAGGACAAATAGTTCCAGTGGCAAAATGGGAAACGACAATTTAGACGGGAACTTAAGTTCTGGCAGTTTATTCAAACAGCGCCAGTATACAGCAAAAGTCTCATTTAAAAAGCAACGGATCCAAATCATATTAAACTATTTCATTTTTTCAGTGAAAATACAGAATGACTTTGATGATTTTTTGCTGAAGAAACTAAAATTGAGTTATTGAAGTTAAAACAAGGAGACCATAAAACAAACTAAACGTTAAACGCAGCGGAACACAAGCTAACAGCTAAAAGCAGCGGAACACAATAAAAAAAATTTATAAAATCTAAAAAGCAGCAGAAGAGTAGCTTAAGTCTAAAAGCAGAAAATTAAGTTATTGGGTTCATTTATCTCAGACCTGCTTATAATACAAGTAATTTAATTCACCAGGTTTCACAAATAATATAAATGAGCGTCATCAGCATAATAAAATTTATCCCATGGCATTAATTTTACCTAATGGAAATGAATTTAAAGTAAAGAGTTGTTGTCCAAGCACTAGGCCCTGAGGAACTCCAGAGCTGAGTGTGTGTAAAACTGGAATCCATCAGATAAATACGACTTAAATCAGCTTGGAGCAGATCATTTTTCCATCCCTTTATCTACACTTCTACTTTGTCCAAACTGATTGCCTTTTATTTCCTCACTCAGGTACATGATGATGAAAGACTGCTGGCATGCCATTTCATCACAGAGACCCACCTTTAAGCAGCTAGTCGAGGACCTGGATCGAATCCTCACCCTGAGCACCAATGAGGCAAGTTTAGCTGTAATTCTTCTCCACAGCTCTCAACACCTTTTCTAGCCATATTTTGCAGACGTTTTTTTTTTTCCCTTTTGGGTGGTCGGAGTTCACGCCTCGTGCACTTTTTCTCGCAAGCGTGAATGTCAGGTATTCCAGTGCAATAAAGTGGTAAATGATGACACCCACAAGCCTTTCCATTCAAACTAAATAGCACTTTTGCAAAAGCATGCACGGTTTAAAATGAATTTTGTCAAGAAGTTTATGGAGATTGTTCGACATCGAGCAGTGAAAAATGACTGCCCGATCTGTAGCTCAGTCGTCTCTCCCATAACGGCATGTGCTTTTTCCCCCATTCCCTCTGTCTCGTGCGATATCTATGCACTGATCTTATAAAAGCTTCCTATGGAAAGCTGTCAAGACTTGTCTGCTCTGGAGCGTCATGAATTCATGCCAAGAAAGCCCAATGTTGAGTTTGAACTTTTGAAATGTAATAAAGCACCCCTTTTCTTGCATTTTTCCCCCTTCCCCCTCCTTTACCTCTACCCCAAACCGCTGGCAGATGTGGAGATCTGTAGTAATACGAGCCTTTTCGTGTTGAGCTGGGAAAATGGAAGCCAGCTATAATTTTTTTTTTTTTTTTACAAAACCCCAAGAACTCTTCCTCTTACTCAACTAGCCTCAGTAACAGCCATGAAAGTCGAGGAGAGTCGGGGGGGAAAGTGGGGCCTCAACAGACACAAACATCTTCACAGGACTGGACTGAGTCAAAAATTAATAACAGGATTTCTTGAGGTTTTCATATTCATGGCGGTTAGCTGTGTTCTGCCAGCTTCTTGATTTCTTTCCAACCCATCTCTCATTGTTTATGTCGGACATTTCGATGCCAGATTTCAGGTTTGACCGAAGTTATACAGTAAAGGTCCGTACGTCTCTCTTAAAGGGCTTTAACAACCATCTTAAACAAAGCGCAATGCAAACAGGTCAAACCTCAAGCCAACAGTTTAACTTTCGATTCATGGCCTCTTATTTGTGCAGTTGGATATTATTTTTCAAATTCATTTTAAAAACCTCCCTGGGTGATTTGGTATAGTTTACATATATATATATCATAATAAAGGTGATACTGTTCTCAACTGCCTCTGGAAAGTCCCCGGTCTTATTGACTGGGTTTCAGCTCTCCGTTTATATTCTTCTGTTTGCTCCTGGTCTTTTGCCACACACAATATTGTCTTCCTGGTTTTTTTTTGTTTTTCTTGCCTTTTCAGGCATCTGTCTACTTCACATACTTGGTGCTGATTTAACCAAACATCAACACATTCAAGAAACAGATGCTATCACTTATTTTAGCTCATTTTCGTACTTGAAATATTTAACTTTTTTTACAAAAATATCAAACTTCATAGATCTTTACAAATCCTTCAAAAACATTGTTTGATATCTGTTTTAGTGTACTTCTGCTAATACTATTTCTACTAAAAATAATAGCCTTCTGCTAATGTTAATTCTAATTAAGCTAATCTTGCTAATGCTAATTCTACTTACGATAATACTGCTAATGCTAATTTTATTAAGCTAATACTGCTAATGCTAATTCTACTAAAAATAATAGCCTACTGCTAATGTTCATTCTAATTAAGCTAATCTTGCTAATGCAAATTCTACTAAAAATAATAGCCTACTGCTAATGTTAATTCTAATTAAGCTAATCTTGCTAATGCTAATTCTACTTAAGATAATACTGCTAATGCTAAATCTACTAAAAATAATAGCCTTCTGCTAATGTTCATTCTAATTAAGCTAATCTTGCTAATGCTAATTCTACTAAAAATAATAGCCTATTGCTAATGTTCATTCTAATTAAGCTAATCTTGCTAATGCTAATTCTA